GGTGGCCAAGGTTCGCCAGCTAAACTATGAGAAAAAGAAGCTGCGTCAAAAACTGAAGAGACGCGATAGGCGGCTGAAGTGCCTGAAAAGCACGTTGGATGCACTCAAGGAGAGCCAGGTGATGGATGCTAACCTGTTGGACAGCATCCGTGCGCGCTTTGAAAATCCAATTGTGTCAGAGCTATTTGCCAACGAAGTAGTGAACGGTGGTCGCAAAAAGCGTGGTGGGCGAAGATATTCCGAGGAGATAAAAAAGCTCTGCCTCACGCTACATTACTACTCTCCCAGAGCGTACAAGTTCCTCGCTAAGAACTTCTCCCTTCCTGGTGTAACCTCGCTGCAAGAGTGGACAAGGAGCGTCGGATGCGAAGTCGGTGTCCTCGACGAGGTCTTACAGACCCTGGCCTCTCAAGTAGCCTCGAAGAAAATCGACCCAAACTGCTGCCTCATGGTAGATGAGATGGCTATCCGAAAGGCAAAAGTGTACTCCCAGCCCAAGGACAAGTTTGTTGGCCATGTCGACCTGGGAGCAGGTGATGTGGAAGACTCTAGACTGGCCACAAATGCCATGGTGTTCATGGCCGTTGGGTTGAAGGGGGTGTGGCGCCACCCAGTCGCGTACTTTTTAACTGATCACCTGACGGGAGAGACGCAGGCTGAGCTGACCAAGACCGTCCTACGTGCCCTGAACTCAGCAGGTCTGAAGGCTAGGACGCTTGTGGCAGATGGTCTCCAGGCCAACATGACGATGTTCGCTCACCTGGGCGTTCAGAATATGCAGCCGGGACAACTCCAGCTTCCCATCAGGAACAACTTCTTCCTGCACCCTGCTACAGGAGAAAAGGTACACATACTCCTTGATGTCGTCCACATGTTGAAGTTGTTGCGGAACCTGTTCGGTGAACAGAAAATGCTGCTTCTGGATGGCGAAGAGATATCCTGGAAGTATGTACAGGTGAGCATTAACGCTAATCAGCGGACTTGCTGAAATGGGTTTATTTGATTTTAACCACTACCCAGCTTTTTTGTATACTGTGCATAATGTTGTAGTGAATATTTTTTTTGTATATTTTGTAGTTGTTGTACTTAAAACAATAATCAGCAATAACACAACCAGTAACCACCCATCAGGATGCTGTCAACAGTGTCATTTACATTTTTTTGCTTTTATTGTGCTTAAGCATTAACCAGCAATGACCAGACCTTTCACTCAGCTTTGCATTAATATAGCAGTAGGCAGTAGCATTGAAGTAATCTGACTGCCAGGCCGGCTGCCGACGTTCTTCATCAAAATAATTTTGGTTTGTTTTTTCACAGGCGCTGTACGCTCTTCAACAGAGGGAGGGCATCCGAGCTGCAAATAAGCTATCTCGCCTCCACATCGAGTACAAGAAAAACAAAATGAAGGTAAAACTCGCGGCTCAGCTGTTCAGCAGCTCGGTGGGCAATGCCCTGCTGTACATGGCAGAATCTGGCCATCACCAGTTCGTTGGAGCTGAAGCTACGGCCCGATTCATCCTGATGATCGACCAGGCGTTCGATTACCTGAACGGCAGTAGCATCTATGGCAAGGGCTTCAAGGCTCCTGTAACCGCCAATAACCTACCGTGAGTAGCGATGGATTCAAAGCGATGGATACATTTTTTTGTTGCTATCATTGTGCTTCAACATTAACCAGCAATAATCAGACCATTTGCATTGACTCATTTTTGCCTGAATATAGCTTTGAAGTAACCTGTTTGCCACGATGCCCTGAAATATTCATATCGTGCCAATTGCTTGTCTTGCTTATTTGTCAGTCTTTCACATTTGTTTTGCATCAAAGGTGTTCGAAATCAGCTGCTAGTACTTTAAATCAAGGCTGCGGCGTCGGGGTCGTGGTCGGTAGTTAATTTGTCCGGAGTCGGAATCGAAAAAATCACCGACTCTGACTCCTGCCTGGAATTAGAGTCGTTTAAACCAGCTCCCGTTTTTTTCGGGTTCCTGACTTATTCAACCCTTTTCAGGCTCCGGCGTCAGTTCCTGGCGGAGTTCAGCTCCACACTGTTCCGGCTGCAGACGGCATCCGGAGAGCCGGTGCTGAAGACGCGCCGCTCCACTCCTGTGTTGGGCCTCTGCCTCGCCGCGCAGTCCGTCCTGGACGTCAGCGAGGCTCTCCTGGAGCAGGAGGGCTTCGCGTACGTCCTGCCCTACAAGATGAGCCAGGATCACGTGGAGCTGCTGTTCAGCCGTATCCGGCGCATGGGTGGGTTTAACAATAACCCAAACGCGGTGCAGCTGCAGCACGCTCTGCGGAGACTGGCTCTCCACAACTTCATCTCGCCATCTGCGACCGGCAACAGCACGGCACCAGCTGACGAGGACAACGGCAACGACGACGAGGTCGGTCTGCTGCAGATCCGTCGCCCACAACGGCAGCGCTCGGCACTCGGTGCAGGTGATCCGATGCCGGCGGTAGTGCAGCATGTCCTCATGACGCCCGGCAACCGGTCTGCGTTTGTGGACGACTCTGTCGGCTACATAGCTGGCTATGTGTGCCGTAAGCTGATAGAGGGCAGCGTGGTGAAGTGTGGAGAGTGTATAGGTGCACTTCTCAGTAACGAGGAAGATCCGCCATCACGCGAAGTGATGAGGCTGGTCGAAATTCGAGACAACGGGGGCCTTCTCGTCCCATCGGCGTCGACGTACGCAATCATTGCGTCATCAGAGCGGCACCTGACTGCGCTGAGAAGGTGCGGTGAAATGGGACAGGAGAACCTGTCTCTGAGGATTCAGTGCTCCGTACTCGCTCAGTTTATGACTGAGCGCAGTCATGAGCTATTCCCTGGCGTGCAGGAGCACATGTTTGAACCTCGCGCAGGTGGATGCCACGCAGTGAGTCTGCTGAAGCAGGTGGTGGCCCGGTACCTGCGCGTCCGGCTGCATGCCTACGGCCACTATATCACTCTGAGCGGGATGGCCAGTGCCCATGTGAGGCATCATCTGCACAAGCAGGTGCTGTTTGCGCGGCAGTAAGTATATGTGCCATATGAGTATGTGCATTCAATAGTGTAGGTGGTATTTAATTTTTTTTGTATGCATAGTTGGTGTTTTGTCGTTTTCGCTATCTTTGATATTTACGTGATTTCACTCGCTGTTTCGCTTTATCCACCAATTTGTGAGTTTTCGTCTGGAAAAAATTGTACGTGAGATGTAGCAGTAATGTGAAATGTCCGCCATCCAAAATTTATTTAGTGTCAATTTTCAGTGTCGTGTACTTTTATTCTTTTTTTTTGAGGACATGAAATATTCCGGGAAAAAGTGGGTGATAGCCGGGAAGCTGCTTTCTGTTAGATGACGGTCTTTGACACTAACAAATGTAATTCATTGTGAAGTCAAGGGAATCGCCTTGGCCTGATTCGTTCCTGGCATGTGCTTACTAGTTTACAGACACTGTGTGACAGTGTAAGTGACTGGATCTTACTGAGAAACGCCTCTTTAATCTAACTTGAATTTGCCGGACACCTTAGTATCTCGACGGAGCGCGGCGTAGATGTATGTATCGATGTATGGCTGTTTGAGTTGAGCGGAGTTGAGCGCTGTGGCCGGTCAGCTGGCTGGCTTTCTTTCAGAATCTCCTGCTTTCTGGTCTCGTTCTGGTCTCCCAACAGCAGACAGCGATGCACGTTCCCAGGTTGCCAAAGAACGTACTTAGAATAAATACTGCACCGCCTGAAGCCCGTCGTTCACCTCCCAAACCGTGGAATAAGGCTTCGAGATCGGCCCTGTTCCATGGGGCTGTAACGTTGCCGATCAAGTTTTGTTGTTCCCTAGCATACATAATTGACTACTTAATGCATCTGTGAAGGTTAAAATGTTCTAACCCAAACAGGTTTATCAGCATCCGCATCCAAAGTTTGATATTTCGCCATAGCCTTAGCATTACGATGCTAACTCACGCCCCCAGTCGTGTGGTGGCGCTAGTGTCGCAAGACAGGAACGGCCGGCCGGGCGCCGGGCCAATGGGAGTCGCGCGTCTAGTCTTTTTTAGGTCAATGGGTTTAACAGTAATTTGTAGGTAGAGATCATATCCTCAAGGACCTCCGTTACGATTTTATATTCGTAAACAATATGGCAGACCAATTATGCTTGCCTACGTTCAGGCATGATCCTTGATGCTTATCCGCCCACTACAACATGTGTTGTTTGTCTGTCAATCAACCATCGCTCGACGACGGGATCAATTCTAACCATCGGCATTCGGTTGTCAATTCACCCACCCCGTTTCCCTAAAAGTAGACGGGTCAGACTCGGCCTGTGTCTTAACGAGTCCTAGAATCGCCAGAGACGGGATCGGGTCGCCGTTATTGCACCGGTCTTGGCGTCTTTTGGTATATATAAAGTAGACAGCTTCGACCACGGACGTCGGACCGTTCTACGAATGTACGCACCATCCAGGCCTAAGATGCGTCGAGCTTTATAAGAATGCAGTCTAGATCAATCAACATAACAATGGTGGTATGCAAACGCTTTAAAAACTCTCCCCGGCTCCCGCAACGTTCCAACGCTCCTCCGTTATACGCTCGCTCGATGCGTCCGCCGAGCCGGCTTGCCTCCAATGACGTCATCGGCCGGCCGGCGGCGTTCAAGGTCAAACGGCTGGTGTCCTTACCTGGAGTTCTATAGCCTTGGAAATTTGGAAGAAATTCCAATTTGAATTTTGATTGATTTGATCTTTGATACAAGTCGTGGGTACTGAGTGCGAGTCAGGGGGGTTCGCTCCCGTGCCTTCAGCATTACGAAAAATGGCAACAGCCCGTGAGCAGCATCAGCGCTCACGCACATGTTCAAGGAAAAAAAACGTGTAATTAGCTGCTGACGACGGCCCTCTCCACCAATCAGCGCTCGGTAAGTCGAGCGCTGATTGGCTGGTAGCAAACGCGTCATATGTGGGTCTCATTTTTTGCTATCAGTGAACGCGTTATTTAATACACAGTGGCCTATGGAGAATGGCACGCGGAATTGAAGGTCAGTGTTTTATTGCTTCGTACATGCGAATGGGGGTATTTGAGTGGCATTTGAAACCTTTTTCGAAATCTACAGTGAATTTCTGATCGACTCATGTATATATTTTTATGAATTTGACAGTATTAGTGCTACATATTCGGTGTTTTATGTTGGTGTTGTTTCTCTCGACCTTTGTCTTGGACTTTAATCATATCTTTTCTCGAAAGTGCTTGCCATAACGGTCTAAACTGTATCTGTATAAAGGGAATATGTGTTGAATATGAGGGGAAAGTAGTAATGACCATTCTGCCTATCAAACTGCCAGAAGGTGTGCTTGTAAGGTGATTGAAACTGCAGTACGGGTTGCAGATGTGGGTTTGACATTAGCATTGTTGCTGTAACCCCACCTGCTCTAATAAAATGGCAACATGGGGTTATGTACACACTATTGCACAGCCTGGTATCAAGCTGGTTGATATGTGGAGGATAATGAAAGCATAAAAGCATAGGAGCGTTGCGTCTTGTGACTTATGCCAAGTCATTTTAAATCAAATGATTGTGATTGTAACTTTTGCTTCAATTATTATTGCAAGTTTTGACCTTTTTAATCATCAAATTTTATGTGTACCAATTTCATATGCCTGTGAAATGTCTGTGCGGCTTTGTGCAGTGTGCGTGTCTTGAAACAAACCAATTTATTTTGTACCTTTTTGTACTTCAACAAATGTATGTCAAAGGACAAAAATGTCATGTCTATTATCATTGACACTACTACAGCTAACCCTGCCTGTATTCCTATCTTTCAGAGGCATTCAATTCAATCTGCTTTCCAGTGCAGTACCAAGGAGGCTGCAACTGAGACTCGCACAAAGGCAATCAAGTGTCACTTCATCAGCCTACAGTAACAGCCCATCTGTAATCAAGATATGGATGAAGGGGCATAGAAGAACAACTAGTTCAAACATGAAAAGATTGTATTTTGTTTGGATTATTTCTTAGCATAACAGAACAGTACACTTGCTGCTTTTTATGTTTGCCCTGTGTGCAGTTTTGAATAACTTTAACCATGAGATGCTTTTGTCAACTATTCTCTTTACATAAGCTTCCTTGTCATGCATGTGTAATTTTGAGTTTACATGCATGATGTAGGCACATTTCCCTTGGCTTCATAGAAGTTAAAACTACTTGCAAGCTTTGGTTATGGACATTGGTGCTATATATGATGCTTCAAATGTGTCCAGTAGTTGATGAAGGGAGAAGAGGAGTAGGACAGCCGATAGCTATTACCAAAAGTATGTGCTTGTCTGCACTTTGGGCTGTTTTACTTCCTTGAGTTAAAAACCCTCATCTTTTGTTTCTTTCCTGTGTGCCCATTGTTTCCATGGTGCTATACATAAACGCCAAGTTTGAAGTTGGTATCCAAGTGAGCAAAATGTGTATTATTTCAGTCCGTCTTGAATCATTCGTCTTGAATTATATCCCTAACTGACATCCCGTTATTTGTCCTGCAATGTCTGTGCCTGTGTCCGCCCTTACCTCCGGCTCCAGCCTCCAACCAGCCCTGCTGAGCTCTGTCGCCGGCGCGGTGTGTCGCAACGTGCTGTTTCTCCACTCCAGCCGACAGCTGCTAGGAATCGTCCTGTGCCATGCGCCATGCGACACAGCAATTGTAAGCTGCAGGTCACATTCGGACTGATTGGCTCCGCGTATGTGCATCCGGCCGGGAGCTAGTCGATATCAGGGACGTGGGTCGGACTGTTGTGGCGGCGTGCACTGTGCTGGTTGAAGTTGTATTTCTGTTAGTGAAAAGCATTAATACATAACCGTGGCCGCAGCCCAATGTTATTGTGGATTTCAGAGGGAGTGGCCAGTCAGGAGGGCCCCATGTGGGTATGGATCCAGTGTCCAGTGGGATTGGCTAAGATTTCCGGCGATTGATAAACGCTTCTATGATAGTAAACCTATTGAGTTATGAGGGGAGGTCACGTGACGGACCTGACCTTAGGTACTAAACTCTTGTGAAAACCCGACACATACGAACGGTAAGAAACCGACAACTCCTCTTTCTGCCAAGTGTCATCTTTCTGTGAAGGATTTCTTGGCACTGAGTGTTCAGAAATTGCGTTGTTTTTGGACTGTGCAGAGGCTCACGAGCGACAACATAGGTCAACAACCTGACCTACCTTAAATATGCGACTTGTACCATAAGATCCAGCTTGATCAAAAGATAGGACATGTCAAATTTCATCTCTTTATCTCAAAAGAATTTTTAGCTATCGTAAAAACCGCCAGTGTGGCACCATATCGTCTCGGCGCGCGGTCGGAAGGTAAAAGTTCGCCGGCTCTAACTAAACAAATGGTCGTCGTATCGCAAATTCATTGACGGCGTTCGAAGCGTCGTTCAATTTACTTTCGAAACATATCCTAACATTACCATTTAACTGCCTAGCGCAATCACCAACAAGCAAAAGTTCCGCGCATCCCTCCTCATACAGTGTTAGCGGCGGCCGGCCGCCGGCCGCTGACCCACATTCGCGTCATCAGGGAATGCCGCAACTAATTTATTGTTTCCAACTTTTTTCCCGGAGCGTTCTACCTGGTTTATATAGCCTTGCTCAGGGCTGATATTCTGCTTTTTTGTGGTTTTTGATTGGTCGCATTTCACACCCACCTTTTGGCTAGAGCAAGCCTGTTACAGCCTTCAAGTACCTAGTCTTGAGCTGAAGTGAATAAGTCAAGAACAAGAACAAATTCAGCAACAACTTGAAATTGGAATTTACTATCAATGCTCCAGCACATTCTTCGCCCTTGAGAAGTGAAAAGGGCCTTTGAAGGGTAAGCTATGTAACAACATTTTCTGTTTGTTTTTGGCCAGCCAACCATTACCAATGCCTGGTCATTTTCAAATTTGTTGTTTTGAAAATGATTTTAGCCTTTTTGTGATCCTTTATCAACCGCCACACCCCTAGCATTGAAAGTGTCTTTAACTTATTGCTCATGTTTTTATTATACTGTTTTGTTTTGACACTCGACCTAGCTATGACAGAGTTCGTGAAAAATGAATGTGATTAACCCGCGCTGGGCCGGGGGGAGGGGAGTGTCTGAACACCCCCACCCTGTGGTTTTTCGCAGATATCTAAAAAACGGCTGTGCTTCATGCATCTTTTCCACATATGTTGTGAAAATTTCAGACTCAGGGCTCTCAAGGTCAGGTCACCAGGTCAGGTCAAGTGACCTCACCTCGGAAAAAATTCAAGCCTCGTCATAGCTACACCGACCGAGCGATTGCCTTAAAACTTTCAGCGATTGATGAGAGTAACAGTATGTACAAAATGTTTATCTTGGAATTTTGATATTGGTGACCTAAGGTCAGGTCAATTTTGCAACCTCTCCATTAGGTATAAGTCAATGGGAGAAAATTGAAATGTGCCTCTTTTGGACGAATGGTGTTCAAAACCCTCTCAAACATTGGCTCCTAGGTAAACATGACACACTGAATTGGAAAAATGCACCTTTGACCCCTCTGTGTGCCCCTGAGGTCATCTCAGGTCATGAACGGTCACTAGCAGTTTTTTTGGCTATAACTTTTGATAAAGACGTGCTAGAACGATGAAAACACGTCAGATGTATTCAGCTCAACGATACGGATCGACTGATATGCAACATGACCCTTTCCGGTCAGGTCATGACCTTGACCTGAGGTCAAATTTTCAAAATGACCTTTCAAGGTCAACAAATAATGCATTTGACGCGTCTCGACAAGAGAAACACAATGCTGCTAGAAGTAATCTCGTGGCTCCCTTGAGTCAAAAGTTATTGACGAAAAACCATTTTCATGAAAACTGCTATTTTTACCGTTTTTGCCCTTTGAAGGCTAAACCGTAGACCTGAGGTCAAATCTGAGATCATCTATCAGAAAGGTCTATAAAAGGGCTATCGAGTGCGCTTTTCCGCGGCGCTCTAGCTCTATTGGTTCCCGAGTTAGCCGTTGGCAGTTTCCAAAAGCAGGGCTGCGGAGTCGGAGACGGAGTCGGAGTCGGTCGGAGTCGACAGTTGTGACCGGAGTCGGAGTCGGAGTCGGAGTCGATTTTAGAAACCCGAGCCGGATTCGGAGTCAGAGTCACCGAAAATCTGTCGACTCTGCAGCCCTGCCAGGTCTGCGGAGTCGGAGTCGGGAGTTGGAGTCGGTCGGAGTCGACAATTCTGCCCGGAGTCGGAGTCGGAGTCGGAGCTGGTTTTTGAAAGCCGGAGTCGGAGTCGGAGTCGCCGAAAATCCATTAACTCCGCAGCCCTGTCCAAAAGTGTTGAAATGGACTACATTTGATCTTTGATGACCTCTGGTGACCTGACCTTTGACCTGGCCCAAAAAATGACCCAAGTATTTCTGTCATTATTTTTGACGCTCTTTCGAATGCCGCTTATTGCGTGTCGCTACGTGGCCCAGGAGCCGAGTTAGACAGGGTGTTCAGTCAGACACCCCCCCCCCCCGGCCCGGCGCGGAAGTCGCGGAGCACCGGCCCGGCGCGGGTTAACCCGCGCCCGGCTGGGGTCCTGGATTTCCACGCCCTGCTGCGGGAGGGGGGGGGGGGGTGGGCTGAACCCCCCCCCTCTAACTCGGCTCCTGGGCTACGTAGCGATACGCGGAAGGCGGCGTTCGAAAGAGCGCCAAAAATAATGACGAAATCACTTCAGTCGTTTTTTTGGTCAGGTCAAAGGTCAGGTCACCAGAGGTCATTGAAGGCAAAATTTCGCCGATTTCCAGGTCGAATGTCGACAATTTCCAAGATGCCAACGCATAACTCGGGAACCAATAGAGCTACAGCGCCGCGAAAAAGCGCATTCGATAGCCCTATTAACGCCCTTTCTGAGTAATTCTCTCAGATTTGACCTAACGTCAACGGTTTTGCCTGCAGGGGGCAAAAACTGCTAAAATAGGTAGCCGATTTTTTCGGAAACAGTTTTTCTGCAATAACTTTTGACCCAAGCCTTGCACGAGCTTACTTTTACCGGCATCGTGTTCC